CAATAAAAAATAAATAGGAACCAAAAGTTCAGATTTTCACGAAATAAATTTCGTGAAAATCTGAACTTTTAGTTCTTATTTATTTTGATAATTGGATTTTCATCAAGTAAAAGCCACCTCAGTTCAAAACAATAAAATAATAAATAAAATAAAATAAAATTACCTTTCTTACAGATCGCAAATCAATAATATTAAAAATCTCATTTACAACAGGTGGAAGCCCATTTATTGTAGCATAAGTTTCTTTGTAAACCTAGTCTTTTATAGCTCCTCACAAAAAAAAATCGAAAACCGCGGAGATATGGCGGCCATAAAACACCGGCGTTTCTTCCTATCCTACACTGAGAAGTATTGTATATAGGTAATTTCCAATTAAAATAACAATGGCGGTATCATATTGATACCACTGTTAATTTTGACTAGGGCGTAAATTTAAACATATCTTCGAAGTCATAGAAACCACCATCGATACTAGATGGTCGAAAAATCGTTGAACCCACAAAACCACATCAAACATTAAACTCGAACTGGATTGGTTGGGAGTAATCGAACCCTATGATCCCATATTAAACATCGAACCCAAAATTTATAAAACAATAAAATACATAGGAGAACCTAGCAAGAAAGTTCCGAAACACCTACGTAAAATGGTCTCAAGAATGTTTTAAACATCAAAAACACCATAGGATAATTAAAAAAAACTAAATCACGAAAAACTCAAAAATCATAAGTTCATAAGTAAAAATGTCCCAAAATTCATATCGGATACCGAAACGAAACTAGATAACTCTAAACTTAATTATAACTAAATTACAGAGCAAATTACATTTTTCCATTTACCATAAATCCTCACACACCGACACAGTAATACATAATAACCCAAATCACCCTCACTCACACAAAATGGCTGCCTTTTATTATTTTATTCACATACTACTGCATATACAACTTTTGACAGAAATTTTTGAAAAACAATTCAATATTATTAAAAAAATAAATTTTAGCAATGGTTACGACCCTTCTTTGATAAAAAAGATTATAACTAAAAAACAGTTTCAAATAACAAAATTTATAAAACAATAAAATACGACAGAAAATTTTGATAAATTATTAAATATTATAAAAAAATACCTTTTAGAAATGATTACGACCCCTCTCACGTCACGAAAAACTCAAAAATCAGGAGTCTACAAGCTAAAATGCGGACCATGTCCCCAAATTTATATCGGGCAAACAGGTAAAACATTTTTAAAAAAACGTATTAACAAACATAAAATAGCATATAAAAATAAAAGTTCGGATTGTAACTTTTCATTTAAAAACAGAAATGCACAAATGAATCAAAAATGAAAAAAGTAAATTTGTTAGAAGCTACGGAGATTAAAAAAATGAGATATTCCAATCTATATCAATTGGATTTAAATGGGTATCCGTTGTTAAATTTAAATTTATAACACGGTGTTGTCGAAACAGCTGTATGCATGATATACTATTTATGTGATTTTATTAAGGACAAAACTTCCAAAAATTTTTGTATTTATCATGATACAATTAATATTTACGCAACTAGAAGAATTTTAAAAAATCACCGAAAATCAGTTTTTTTCTTGAAACATCTTGAATGTTGAGTACAGATTACGAAACTGCAATTCTTTACCCAATTAAAATTTCTCGTATCTGCTTTAGAGACACCAGTACTAAATAAACAAATATTCACCCTGTGCGCTAAAACTCCAAAGAAAAATACCGAAAAATACAAGAAAAAGTTTTGGTTTGGTTGATAGGCGTTCTTATACGTTACTGCACCTTGGCTAGAATCTTATTAAGCACAAACAGTTAGTAATACCTTGTAATATTATGGATTTTATTTCCAAATTGTCTTTTCTACTCATAAAACACATGCCAATCAACTAATTGGGTTATTCTTATAGTGAATTGTCTGCCACATTTTTGCCTTAATCTGGAGCGGAAAACGTAATTAATGGTTGGGTCAAACCTCGAGTCGCCGAAAGACATGCCAACCGAGCACCGCTTTCTTTCCTTTTTTCTACCTTTGCATGCAATACAACGCTACCACTGCGAAGGTCAATGTAATATGGGTTACGCATACACCACACAAAATATTTCAATCCGCAGTCGCGATATTGATTGATTCAATATTTTACGGTTTAATTTAAAACAATACACGCGTTTTCGTTTTTCGAATTGATTTATATAAATTTTATATGGAATTATTCCACGGTGACATTCTGCAAACAACAATGGCGCACGTATTCGAAATAAAACAAAGAGCTGGTAATACGGTTGGTCTGCTGTCGCCAAACGAATATCATATGTAGTTAAATTTTAAGTGTTCGATGCTCACTGTAGTGCGACTTATGGACGGTAGGGAAATAAAATATAGGTTTGAAATTCAATTTGCAAATTGAAATTTGAGGAACATATCGGATCAAAATTAAAAACTCGGTATTCTCATAGGCACTTATTGGGGTCACATGTTCATTATATCCAATTGAATTTAAGGGTTTTATCCTCTGTCTGACGGAATATAGTAGGCGCATCTCGCATATTGTACCAGTATCTGAAATATTGGTTTGAATATAGATAATGGTTTTTTTTTTCGATGTATAGAACTTTAAGTTGGCATTACTGTTCAAGATGGCAACCGATTTAACAGCTGTCAAGTGATTTATTCTCAGCAATTCATCATAAATAGACTCACGCCTGAACAACACTTGCAAATGGGCCCAAAACGAGATTGCCGTTGTTCCCGATTTTCATAAGCGAATTTTGTTTAGCGATGAAGCGCACTTCTGGTTGAATGGCTACGTCAACAAACAAAACTGCCGCATTTGGAGCGAAGCTAATCCTCAAGTGTATGTCGGAACACCGTTACATCCAGAAAAACTGACCGTTTGGTGCGCTTTATGGGCTGGTGGAATCATTGGTCCGTACTTCTTCAAAAACGATGATGGCCAGAACGTTACAGTCAATGGTGATCGGTATAGTGTGGTTTCAACAAGACGGCGCAACATGTCACACAGCTCGTGCCACAATCGATTTATTGAAAGACACGTTTGGTGACCGCCTAATTTCACGTTTTGGACCTGTGAATTGGCCTCAAAGATCTTGTGATTTAACACCGCTAGACTACTTTCTGTGGGGCTATGTAAAGTCATTGGTCTATGCGGACAAGCCACAAACGCTTGACCATTTGGAAGACAACATTCGCCGTGTTATTGCCGATATACGGCCACAAATGTTGGAAAAAGTCATTGAAAATTGGACGTCCAGATTGGGCTACATCATATGCCAGAAATCATATTTAAAAAGTAATGCCACAAAAAATTTATCAACTTACACAAATACACCCCTTAGTATATCGATTACCTAGCAAAGAATGAAGAAGGTGGTAATATTTTTCGATATTTTACATTTTGTTAAGTTATCTGTCGTAGCCCAGTCTCCTAAAAACTTGCTCATTTGGAATGTGTTCGGAAAGAAAAGAACGCCCTTATGAGTAACACTTGATTACTAGCTAGCGAAGATGCAAAGACATAGATAGATTGTTAAAGATTGTTTAAGTTTTGAAAATGTATGGCAGTATTTAATAAGTTTTGTAGGGTTTCAGTGTATTTGATGTTATTAAAAAGCTAATTTGTCTATCTAAACCACTGCTCAAAAAAGTAGATGATATCCCAATCGATAAGTCCAACCATACGTATACAGAAACTCGTGTCTAAGGTTGATCTTCTGCACTCGTTGAAAAGGGTATATAACTCATAAACTTGAGTATCTAAATTGACTTAAAAAGCATAATTGGCGTGTTAGTTTCTTTTACAAGACCATTAAGCACATATCTGATGGAAAAATTATTTATCGGTCCCAGGCACATAAACGTAATATTGTACTTTTCATCAATTTGCGACATATTTTGAAATAACTGAATGTGCATTTTTTTATTTTTTTGTAATTTTTGGACTGGATTAAAAATATTCAATGATTAATTAAATAAAATTTTAATGTTTACTTTTTTTATCGTACCTTCGTCTGCATATTTATAGACTGGTTTATTTTTTTCCATTCTCTACGTCTATTTATGTATTGGTTGCTAAAATATTATGTTTCTAATTTTTGTTTGGAGGCTACCTCTATAAAATGTGTTCCTTTTTGTCCAATGGGTCAATAAACGTATTAATATTGTTATATAAGGAACATATCCTACAGATATTGCTTAGTTTTAAATATTTTATTAATATATTATATTATATATTTTAGGGACAGTAGCTGTAGATTTTCACCGGTTTTCTGTATTTCGAAAATAGCAATAGACCTATTGGATCTAATTTGGTAAAATAGATAAAGATGGTGTAGTTATCATGAAGCGATTCCTAGAACGAGTACTTTTTAGTACGTGCTTCACTTTGGAGTACTTTGTTCGGTACACTTTTTTCAAAAAATCAAACTGTGACGTTGTTATTGCACATTCTATTTCGGAATAACTTAGTCCGGCACATTTTCTAATCAAAGTTAAGCAAGGGATATATTACATCGATAAATCGCTTAAAATTGAAGCTTTAGTAATCGCATCGCCAGTCAAATATCACTCGAATTGCTTCAACGTTTGATCAGTTAAACTGTAACTTTTGAGAGACACTATAAACTGTACCCAATAAATTCGAATTTTTGTTTTTTTTTTTTAATATTGTGATAAAGGGACGTTTTAATGAAACACATCATGATCTTTTAGGAGATTGCCTTGGGCGAAAACATAACTTGAGATATGAACGAATACCTACATTAATTTTAATATTTTTGTAGTAAATTGAGGCAAGGTCACATATTTGTTTGTAAACATATGAAAAATAAACTGGATGCTATTTGTAGTTTATCAAACATCCCATAGAGAGGAGAAGCAAAGAAGTTTGCATTTAAGAAACTTTCATGTGATTGACCGAGCCTGGAAAGGGATCCGCAAAGTCCTTTTCCAAACAACTTACCGGTCGTCGTACACAAATCCAGAATCCAGCGTGTTGTAATAGAGCAGGAAGGCCAAAGCACAACAGGCCGTACCGACGTAATCCATTATCAAAATTTAATCTGTTCACGCGGACGTTCAAAGGACGAGTAAAAAGCTGTTGATTTATTCTTCAGCCTACCAAGCGTCTAAAGTCTATCATACTTCCGGAGAGGTTCCCTCTCTCTCTCTCTCGTGCGAGAGAAACCCTTCTCTTTGGTAAACGATAACGATTGACTTGTTTTTGTCGGGTCGTCGGAGGTTGCGTTAAATTAATTGTTGATCTGCTGCGGTTGTTCCGGCAAGGGTACGGAGTAGCACGCGGCTGTGTTGCAGTTTTTCCGGGCGCGACGATACCACATGCGATGAAGCATGAGAGTGCTCTACTGTGCGATCGAACGACCGCTATTCGCGGTTATATACTCACGTAAACTCTCATTGCGCTACGAACGCGGACTGTCGGGGAAACGATCGACCCTTCCCGCTTCTGTTCAGTTTCCACACGCCCCACTATGGGCGTGCGCAACTTCAGGGATTGTTCATTCTCAAGTCTGGAATACTACAGGTGGCAGCGTGTATCGGTGTATAGGGTGTTCCTTGAAGGTATGTCAGAAGAGGTTAATTGTTGAGCACATTTTATCTTGACATGACGTCGGCCAGTGATTTGTATCCCACGTTTTTTTTTTCAAACAAACTTCCGCAGGCTACTGTAATACTATTTACAAAACTTCTGGGGTCCTCCTGCATCGGTTTTTGTTGAGTCGAACTTGCTAACGTTTCGCTAATCATCCTGTTGGCGTTTTCAGATCTGAACTGAAACTGGCTCGCATTTTACTCTGTACCTGCTTATATATTGTGTGAGGGGGGCCCACCTAAATGACTTGCATAAACGTCGTCTCGGATGACTGACTTCCATATTGGTGACAGGTAAAGACCTGAATTGCGGTTAAGATTGTTAGGTTGCTTATAGATTTCTATAGATTCTCGGATTTTTCGTTCATAGTAGAATTGATTAAATGCAAAAATTTTAGTTTTATCGAACAAAATTTTATGTCCGGGTTCGTGATTATGTTCGGCAACTGTTAATGACTTTATTTGTCTTGTGTCTTAAGACTCATTCATGGTCCTTAATTGACATTTTTCGTCCGATCTCTCCAATGTATTCTTTGCGCATACACATGGAATGCTGTAAACTCATGGCATCTCAAATGGAAGTAGTAACTCTGGTTTTGACGTTATATTTGTTTAGAACTTTTGATATGTGGTCAGTGATGTTTTGAATTAATAGTTTTAGTACTCGGTAAACAAGAGAGTTAATAACCGATGATTTTTGGGCCGGATGGTGATATGATAATGCATTAAGGTATAGGTCTGTGTGCGTAGTTATTAATAAGAATATCTGAGAATGGGAGGTTATTATTAATTTCTAATTCAATGGTAAAACATATGTTAGAGTGTATAGAATTTAAATGTCTAAGAATATCTACTAGAGACTCTTGACCATGAGTCCAAATAACAAAAGTATCATCACCGGGCGTTTCCATAATTTTGGTTTTAGGTGGAAGGTGTCGAGAGCTTTCTTCTCAAAGGCTTCCACAATTATATTCGCGATGACTGGTGATAATGGAGAACCCATAGCTGTTCCCGACGTTTGTTCCAATATTTGACCGCTATAAGTGAAATATATTCCAGACAAGCATTTTTCAATTAAGATGGGAAGGCTTGGCTCTAGATTGTCGGATCTTAATACATCTGAAATGATGTTGAGAGTTTCAGAAATCGGGACTTTAGTAAAGAGAGATTCTACTAACCAGAAGATCTTGTGTATCTAATGCAATGCTTTTTAATGGTTCACTGAAGTGAAAGGAATTAAGTGCGAAACTATCAGTTTTCCCTGTAAGGGGTTTTAATAAGGAAGCTAGATATTTTGCTAAACAATAGGTTATGGAACCAATGGTGCTGACGATAGGTCCTGGTTTGTGGATCTTTGGGAGGCTGCAGGAGACTCCTTCAAGGAGTCTGATATAGAAAAAGCCTTAATAACAGATTTAAAGTTGCGTTTCATAGATGACGAAGGGTCTTTTTTAACTTGACTATATGATCCATCTGTGAATCTTTTCCTGGTATTCATTTGTGTAACATGTCATTTATCTGCTTTTAGGATTACGATGTCGGTATTAGATTTTATAATTTTTAGAGCAATGCGTTCAGGCTTTTAGATTCAGAAAGTTCTGATTTTTGCAGGATTTTTGCGAGTTCAAGTCGAATTTCATTTGCTGTTTGATATGGCCGTTTGTTTAGGATAGACTCGATATTTGAAATATTTTTCTTTGTTGGGATAATACGTGGGGCATGGACGAAGTTGGAACCTTTTGCAAGAACTGATTTTTCCGTGTCCGAAAGTTGGTGGGACGATACATTTATCACAGTGTTTGGTAGTTGAGAAGAGTTTGATGGTTTCACTTGTGTTGACGTTAGTTTTTCAAATTTCTGAATGTGATTTTGGATAAAAGATAAAAGTTTTAAAGCTTTGTCACGAATCACGTTTAAAATGGTATCGAACTCTGATGGGAACAAGATGGAAGCAATTTCAAGAGGTAGAGACATAAGGGTTTTATTGATTTGGTCTGTTTCCTTACGGGTATGATGAATTCTTTCTCAAAGTAAAGTGAAACTAGATTTTCGAAGAATTTTATTAGCGGATGAAATTTTGACATGATGGGATATTTTAAGAAAATTAGGCATAACGTTATGATGTTTACAACCTAACAAAAAGGTCAGTGTACAGAGTAATCTTACCAGTCTCAGTCGGTGATCGTCTAACTTTATGCTTTTGCGCTGGATGAGCTCTCCAAAAAGGCTTGTAAATTTTTCAAAGAAACTTCGACGGGCTACTGTAATGATATTTACTATACTATTTGTTGTTGTTGTGTCCAACATTTTTGATGACAAAAGTTTCTTTAGTCATTCTTCCAGAAAAGTCGCCTCTTGAATTTTTCTCGTCTGTTGCACCTTTCTTGATTAAAATAATTATATCAAAAGTGTCACAGGAAAGGAAAGCATACGATTTTTAGAAATTCATTCAAATACACAAACGAAGAACTACAATTTTTGTTTAACAGCATTCAGAAATTCTGATTTGCTGCCAGGTCAGATCGAGGGAAAATTCAGCCTCGGACTTCGACAGTGCTCTTGGCTGAAGAACATCAGAGACTGGACTAGTTTGGACTCACACATATTACTAAGAAAAGAAAGATTGTTGCCGATCTTCATTGAATGAAGGTGGCACTTTAAGAAAAACAACGTGAAGCATACTATTTGCAAATCTGGTGAAAACAAAATTTATCGATGATATTTTTGTCAGGAGATACTAAGACACCAGTTAAATGTATCAAGTATAATTTTTACTCAGCAATCAACACTTACCACTACAGGAATGTTCAACATAAAAACAAGCATTTATGGTTACGAGAAAACCCGCACTTATAACTCTCGTTAAAATTCAAGATAGAAGATTACTACGTATTTGGTCTCGTCTCCTTCTTCTTCTTCTTCTTGTTCTTGTCCCATATTATACTTTAATTCTCCCTAAATTGAAAGCATTTTTTCTACTCCGTTCTGTAAAATATCTAATTATACACCATATACAGTGCCGAAAGTGTCATTTTACCATGGCAGTTTCGTTTCCTGTGGATCCGAGCCACTTCGGACATTTCCGGGATATAACCTTACGGGTTTGGGAGCAATCGGATGTACCGCACGGCTTGGAATTTTGACATTTGTCAATTGTGACGGTCATGTCAGTGAACCTATTCGTGTATTCCCCCTACCCCCGCTTGTGGCAAACAAACTCATGATTCAAATACCATCTACCACACTTGTTACATAATATACTATTATCACCTCGTAAAGTATGACCAGAGTTTTCTCTCTGCTCTCAGAACTTGCTCAGTCGACATGTGATCGGCGAATGAAATTTTTAATAGTTTTTTAAAGGCGGTTAAAAGTTTTTAGCATTTTATATTTCTATATATATATTTATATGTATATATATATATATATATATATATATATATATATATATATATATATATATATATATATATATATATATATATATATATATATATATATATATATATATATATATATATCTTAAATCAAGAATATGTAGAAAGTGAAAACTAAATATTTCACATTTTTTAAGGGAATAGCTGCAGGAAACAGTATTAAACAAATAACAGAATAATTTAAATGTTTTAGGGATAGGGTTAGGCAATTAATTTTTTTATAAAAAGTAACATTTAATTAACTTTAACAAAACATATGTTTAATTTCTTTTGTTTTCTGGTACTTAAGAGTGTTAGAATTATTTTTTGTAAAAGCGCGGTGTAGATATCAGATTATTTTGCATTAAAATAGCAATAAAAATTCAAATCATCTAATTTAGGCGGCATACGACTCGGAAATCCAACCTAGCAAAAAGCCAGAAGAGTGACGTTTCTGTAGTGCTCGATTGTACTTTTTTACCATGTTTCGTCGTAATCCTCTTGATTAAAATCCGTATAGCATAGTATATTATGCAAGAATTGTGGTAAACGGCATTTGAGTCACGAGTTTCTGTGACCCTAGCGGAGCGATTACTTAATAAACAAAGTGACGTAAAAGTTTACTAAACGTGTTGCATTCTATACTTTTTCTGTAACTGTTAGCTTTTGCTTAGATTTTTGAAAAACAATACAAGTGGCTCGGATCCGTGGGAAAAGAAACTGACGTGGTGAAATGACACTTTTCGCACGCTAGATCGGTGTATAATTAGAAATTTTACAAAGGAAATAAAGGTTTGATTGCCCATATTTCTAAATCTACACCTTCTTGAAGTAGGAAATCTTATACGAAGTCACCTTTTTTAAAATGCATTTAAAAAAAATTACATATTTTTTTAAATATCAACGCAGATCACGGAAGTTAATTCCTTCTTATAAGGAAATTAACGCCAAATGGAAAACAAGGGTTTTCAGCCGTAGAAATCTAAAAATATATTTAGACCTGCAGTGATCACTTTCGACATGAAATTCAGTTCAGAGAGCTTAAGACTTTATATATAAAATATACATAACATATATATAAAATATAAACATAATAAACAAACATATATATAAAATATACTACTAATTCTAACCTGTCTATGATGCAGTTTTTATTCTACCGATGTTTAATTAACTTAAACGATTTATGTGCAAGCGTATAGCAACCGGATTGAATGTTTGACCTGAAATGTGGAAATGCCTGTTTGTCGGCGGCCAGGAATTAATCGCATTTCTACGTGATGTTCAAGATCCGAGGATTTCGATCATTGTACCGTCGGAATTTTTATAGCACAAACGCCTCTTTATCCATAAAAAACAACAAATTTTCGCCGGTCCAATTTTAATCAAAGCGTGCGATGTGTTACATCAAAGT